ATATTAAAGGAAGAAGTCCAAGCTGCACTGAAGGAATTGGCTAAAAACAAGACTTCAGGAGTTGACAGAATACCCATTGCGATGTTTCAACAAACAGATGCAATGTTGGAGGCACTTACTTGTTTATGCCAAGAAATGTAGAACACAGTTACCTGGCTAACTGACTGGAAGAAATCCATATTTGTGTTCATTACAAAGAAAGGTGATCCAATAATATGGGAATTATCAAACTATATCATAGTATCTCTGGTAGCATAGTCCCTAAGGCACTTGACTGCTAACCAGGAGGCTGGTGGTTCAAACCCACCAGCTACTCCTTGGAAGGAAGGTTGGCCAATCTACTTCTGTAGTGATATTGCCTTGGAAACCCAAGGAGGGGTCACTATGAGTCAGGTTTGACTTCATGGCACGTAACAACAACAACAAAAATAATCATTAGTATCACATGCAAATAAAATTTTACTGAAGATAATTCAAAAAACTTGCAGCAGTATATTGACAGGGAACTTCCAGAAATTAAAGCTGGATTCAGAAAAGGATATGGAACAAGGAATATCATTGCTGATGTCAGATGGATCTTGACTGAAAGCAAAAAATACCAGAGAGATGTTTGCTTGTGTTTTATTGACTATGCAAAGGCATTAGACAATGTGGATTATAACAAATTATGGACAACATTGCAAAGAATGGAAATTCCAGAACACTTAATTGTGCTCATGAGGAACCTGTACATAGACCAAGACACTGTCATTCGAAGAGAACAAGGGAATACTGCATGGTTTAAAAGCAGGAAAGGTGTGTTCAATTTGTATGCTGAGCAAATGATCCAAGAAGCTGGACTAAATGAAAAAGAATATGACATCAGGATTGGAGGAAGACTCATTAACAGCCTGTGATACGCAAATGACACAACCTTGCTTGCTGTAAGTGAAGAAGACTTGAAGCACTTACGAAGATCAAAGACTACAGCCTTCAGATGGATTGCACCTCAACATAAAGAAAACTAAAATCCCCACAATTGGATCAATAAGCAACATCACAGTGAATGCAGAAAAGATTGAAGTTGTTAGCGATTTCATTTTACTTGGATCCATAGTCAGCACGCATGGAAGCAGCAGCCAAGAAATTGACATCGCATTGTGCTGGGCCAATCTGCTGCAAAAGACCTCTAAAGTGTTAAGGATCAAAGATGTCATTTTGAAAACTAAGGTGCACCTAACCCAACTCGTGGTATTTTCATTCACCTCATATGTGTGTGAAAGCTGGGCAATGAATAAGAAAAAACAAAGAGGAGTGGATGCCTTTGAATTGTGCTGTTGGTAAAGAATACTGAAAATACCATGGACTACCAGAAGAACAAACCAATCTGTCCTGGAAGAAGTGCAGCTGGGATGCTCTTTAGAAGCGAGACTGGCCAGACCTTGTCTCATGTACTTTGGTCATGTTGTCAGAAGGGACCAGTTCCTGGAGAGGGATATCATGCTTGGTAAAGTAGAGGTCAGTGTAAAAGGGGATGAGCCTCAACAAAATGGATTACACAGTGGCTGCAACGATGGGCTCAAGCATAGCAAGGATTGTGAAGATGGTGCAGGACCAGACAGTGTTTTGGTCTGTTGTGCACAGGGTCACTGTGAGTTGGAGCTGACCCAACGGCACCTAACAACAAAAGCAAGAACTTTCAGTATGAGAGCAAGTTGACAATAGCAACTTACAAGATTAGATAGAAACCTTAAGGACCAGTGAGTTTATATTAATCAGGGAGGAACAACTCAGAAAAGAAGGGTGAGAATGGTTGCACAACTCAGAAAATGTGATGAAAGTTACTAAATTGTACATGGAGAAACTGATTAAACGGTGTGTGTTTTGCTGTGTATATTTTCAACAACAAATAAATAAATAAATAAAATCTTTATAGGAACCTCTAGGACCTCTATAACCTGTTCCCCTTATTACCTTTCTGACTTCATTTCATTTTCTTCATTCTCCACGTCTCACCAAGCTCTAGCTACATTGGCCTCCTTTCTGTTCTTCACTTCCAGCATGCTCCTGTCTAAAGTCCTAAACTGAAAGGCAACCACCCAACTGCTTCGTTTTTACTTGTATAATCCTTTTGCCTGGGTATTGAAATTTGTTGAAATATAAATTCTTTCATTCCAAACTATTGTTATCACTGCTGTTGAGTGGACTCCTACTCATGGTGATCCTACGTACAGCAGTGTGCAACTTTGCTTGATCCGTCTTCATCATTGTTCATATGTGCAAGTCCATTGAATCTGTTCACCATGGGTGACTTAGCTGGCATTTGAAATATCAGTGGCATAGCTTCCAGCATCATAGTGACATGCAAGCCACCACAGCGTAACATACTGACAGATGGGTGGTAGTATTCCAAATTACTCTTCCTTTATTTCTCTATTTAAGGCATCATGTTGATTTTTTTCTTTAAATTTTCTTTCTTTTTTAATTGTTTTTGAGAATATACACCGCAAAACATACAAATTCAACATTCCTAGATGTACAATTTAGTGACACTGATTTCATTCTTCAAGTCGTGCAACCATTCTCACCCTCTTTTTCTGAGTTATTCTTCCGCCATTAACATAAACTCTCTAAACTTGTGTTAATAAACTTTAACTCTTTCTAAGTTTCCTATCTAATCTTTTGAGTTGCTGTTGTCAGTTTGACCCCATATAGATAGTTCCTAAAAGAGCATAATGCTCTCAAGGCAGCCCACTTTTACAAGTTAAGTGAAAATTTTGTTTGGTTTTAGCAAGACTTCAGGAGATATTTTTGGTTTAAGGTTTGAAGATTATCTTAGGACAGAAGTTCCAGGAGTTCATCCACCCTTCATGCCTCCAGAAAGTCTAGAGTATATCAGAATTTGAATTTTTGTTCTGCATTTCCCCACTTTTGATCAGGATTCTTCTTTGGAATCTCAGATCAAATGTTCAGTAATGGTAGACAGGCACCATCCAGTTCTTCTGATCTCATAGCAAAGGAGGCAGTTGTTCATGGAGGCAATTAGCCACACATTCCACATCCTCTTCTTGTTCCTAACTCTCCTTCTTCCTTTGTTGTTCCAGATGAATAGAGACCAATTGTTGTGCCTTGGGTTGCCACTTGCAGTCGTTTAAGAGACCAGATAGAACAGAAGTTATTAGGCCTATTAACTGGGATTTTGCTAAATTCCTCTGTTAGCTGTGGAAGTTTTCTTGTGGAATCTTTGGGACTTCCTATATAAAAGATCATCTCGGAAACCCAAGGAGGGGTCGCTATGAGTCGGGGCCGACTCGACGGCACATAACAACAACAACAACAACAACATCATCCACAAATAGAGATAACTTTACTTCTTATTTTCCAATCTAGAAGAGAAAAAACCAAAGTCACTGTCATTGAGTTGGATCCGACTCATAGTGACCCCTTCTTGGGTTTCTGAGGCAGTATCACTACAGAAGTAGATCGCTCAATCTTCCTTCCGAGGAGAGGCTGGTGGGTTTGAACCGCCAGCCTTCTGGTTAGCAGTCAAATCCCTTAGGCATTACACCATACCTTTTATTTCTTTTTCTTGTCTTATTGCTTTGGTTAGGACATCTAATACAATGGTATAGAAGTGGTAAGAGCAGGTACCCTTGTATTGTTCCTGATTTCAAGGGGAAAGGTCTCAGTCTTTCTCCATTAAGTATAATGTTAGCTATTGGCTTTTCATATATGCCTTGAAACTTACTAAGGAATTTCTCTTCTATTTCAATCTTTTTTATGGTTTCCATCAAGAAAGTGTGCTAGATTTTGTCAAATACTTTTCCTCATCCATAAAAATGATCATGTGTTTCTTTTCCTTTGTTCTATTAATGTGATATATTACTTTGATTGATTTTCTAATGTTGAATCAATCCTGATTTCCTGGAATAAATCCCACATGGTCATGGTGTATGACACTTTTGATATGCTGTTGGGTTCTGTTCACTACTATTTTTGTTGAAGATTTTTTGCATCTATATTCATAAGAAATATTGATCATATCTATTTTTTATGGTGTCTTTTTCTGGTTTTGGTGTCTGGGTTATGTTTGCTTCATAGAATGAATTAGGAAGTATTCCTTCCTTCTCTTTTGAAAGAGTTTAAACAGTATCAGTGTCAATACTCTCTAAATGTTTGGTAGAAATCCCTAGTGAAGCCATCTGGTCCAGAATTTTTTTTTGTCTTGTTCAAAGGTTTTTGATCATGTGGCTAATTCTTTTTATTTTGTTAAATGCATATTTTTGAGAATTTAAGGATTTTTATTTGCATGACTCTCACATTCTCTGTCCCTCTTTCTTTTAATATATGTAGATTTTAAATAAGAGAGGTTAAGTCATCCAAAATAAATTGGTGATTGTGAACAGACTCATAAAATTTCTGAATATGATATAAAACATGCATTTTTTTATTTAGTAATGTCTCTGCATACCTACACTCAGTTCATAATTCATATACATATCTCAGAATTGCACTGTAATCACTCATCTATAGCCTTCTATGCTTAGTTCCTAGTTTTCTTTCTATTTTATAATACTTTCCAGAAAACAGCATGACAACTCCAGATCACTTCACATAGTACTGCTTTCTTAATAGTTAAAAAAAAGGGGAGGGGGATTTAAGGCCACACACCCTGATCTCTCTATACTCTACCATTACATTGTGAATTTTCAGTAATTGAAATGTAATAGTCAAATATCTCAAAACATTTTTCATAGGGGAGAAAGGGTTTGAATTATAGCTCTGTTTTAGAAGTCTTTCATTGGAGAATTGCAAAAATGGGTTTATAGCAAAATCATATTATATAATACTGAACCTTAAATGAATTCCTCTATGTTCAGTGAAATTCCATTATAACACAGTTTCAGCTAGAACTTCATCTGTGTGGCATGACAGTTAGCAATAAGGGGCATTTCATTAACTTGTATGTTAATCATTGGAGACAAGCATGTGGACTTATATTTCTTTTTGACATTTAGCAGAGATCAATAAATGATAAATACCAAAGGCACATTTCATCTTGTGATAATTCACAAAATTTTGCTGAGAGCCAAGATGAAAATTTTATGGAAGAAGTCATTTATCCAGATTTACTTGAAGTAAAAGCTGCTGGATATGAAGATGATCAAGAACAAGCCAAAAAACAGGCAAACATATTTGTGCCAAGTAGTTCTCCAGGTAATGTTCTTTTCATATAAAGTATTCAAGTCATTAATAAATCATAAATAATTTAATAAATCATAAAATAATAGCATCTTTGTATGCTGGTTAGATGAAAAGTACTGATCTAAAATTAGAGAAAGTTTTCTCTATTTGTTCTTCATGCCGTCTCTAAGTTAAGGGAATTGGCTAAGAGAATTTATTCATTGTATATATATTTAGATTTTCTGCTAGGCTTTAGTGGTAGGTATATGATAGTCCATTTTTGCTTCTTGTTTGGTCTATGTCAGTTTAATATTTTGGACTTTAAAGTAATATCTAGGTTTTGTTATTAAGTGGTCAACCAGTATAAACTGCCAAAAAACATGATGCCACGAATTTTAGAAGATGAAGGATTCTATATTCAGAGAAAACCAGAAATACATAAAAAGACCTGCAACAAAATGGAAAACCGCCTGCTGAAACTAGAAGAGGTAAGTGCACGAGATAACAAGAATACTCACAAAGTTAAATCACTCACTGATAATATGTGATGTTTGTTTTTTGTGAGATATTTAATTACTATATTTCCTACATAATTTTGATAGGGAAAGTGTTGGTTTGAAGAAAGTGGAGAAATAATGTCATTACCATCACCAATTAGACAGTCTTGGAATTTCAGATTGAACATAAGAAAAGAATCCTTAAATCCAGCACTAAAGACCATATACAGGAAGGTAACCAAAAGCAGTTTATTTGTAATCATGATTAGAGTTCTTGTAACATTAGTATGTTTTCTGGTATTAATTTACCCTTTAAAGATGTTATCAAGTCTAGTCATATAAAGGCTAAACTGTAATGAAATATTAGATAACCATTAAAATTATGTTTTCAAGGAATACTTATAGGTGGAAAAGCTCAAAATAAAATGAAGTGAAAAAGGCAGAATGCATAATTATGATCTCGATTTTATAAAAAATATATGTGAATGAATGAACAAATACATTATATATGTGTACATAGATAAAAAGAGTGGAAAAACATATCAAAATTGCTTATTAACTCTGGATAGTAAGACATAGGATAATTTTAATTTTCTTTATACTTTTATGCATTTTCTAATTTCCAGAAATGAATGTACATTTTATCTATATCAAATCAGTTGTTTATTAACCTAATGAGAACTACTTAGACAGATAGTTATAAAAAAATTGGCTTGAAAACATTTTAAATCAGAACTA